CTACTTTTATTTATTGGTGGGCTGGATATCAAGATTCAAGACAAATGTTCTTGTTTGCACATGATTCAGGTTGAAACAGTGGCTCAATTTGGTGTAATATTTCTTCTTTTTGCTTTAGGCTTGGAGTTTTCAACAACAAAGGTTTTCTCATTGCCTTGCCCTTTTCTATTATGTTCATTCCTATATTCAATAATATTAAAGTTGTAACGCTTCTTGCAGCTTCGTGTTGTTCGAGCAGTTGCTATCCATGGAGGCCTTCTCCAAATTTTTCTATTCATGTGTTTGTGTGGTATAACAGTCACGGTATGTCTATCATTTTTAGAAGTATTTAATGTAATGTATGGTATAAAAAGTCTTTATCAACCTTTGCCTTTCTTTAATTATGAATCTTTTTACATGAGGTTTATATTTACCCAACAAAATGGAGCTTTTTTAAATATATTCTTGAGAGGCTATTCAGCTGCAGAATATTTCTTATGCGTAAATTGACAGTTAATGGACATATTTTCACTAATATAGGTGGTGTTGTCCTCATGTGCTGCTTCTGGTAGATAAGAGTTTTTCTTCTTGGCCCAGGATGTGGCTTAACTCTTTATCTTTTCATATCTCTTCTCTTTCAGTTTTCAATTTTGCTTTTCATTCTACTGTTGCATGCTGCCTGCTAGTGTTCTCTGTCGGTCTATCTCATTTGAAATTGCTATCTGAAGGCTAAATTTGCTGCCTCCCAGTGTTCCTCATAAATGTTGCATCCTAATTTATTTTAGTGGGTGTCAAGAATACCACAGGTTTTGTATTCATCCAGCCCTGTGTGCAAAAGAAAATGCATACCCTTGTGGAGTTGGCTTTGGCTTTGAAGTATCGGTGTCATTAGTTTTTGTCTTCATGGTTGGTATACACTCATATCAGTAGCATGTGAACAAAAAATGGAGGTGTCGGCCATTCGAACAACATTAAACTCGGCTGATATATTTCCCATATTGTGATTTATCATTCATGTACTGAACTTCTAAAACATCACTTGTTATGGGCTGTGGCATGAATTCTGCAATTTTCCTGCGGTTGGGCCAGGACCCATTCATTTCCTTTTTCAATTAGGCATATGGACAGAAGTGCTGTTTTTTATTGAAGATATGTGATATATCTTTCTTTTTCCTTTTTTCACTAGTATTACAGTGTTTTCCTTCCCCTTTACTCAGATTATTAGCTACGAGTTTTTTTGATGGATGCTGTTGCATGCTTTTTGCAGTTATGTGGAGGTAAACCTTCAGAGGGGGTTTTTGTTGGCGCATTCTTGTCTATGTCTTCTACAGCGGTGGTAAACCTCTATGAATTGCATTGTTGACTGAGAACTTGGATTGCTATTTTTTTTCTTTTCTATTTTACAGTTCACATTTATTTTAAGCTGATAGTGTAGTATCTCTCTGAATTTTGATAGAAAAAAATGTTTGTTCAACGAATTACTTTTGCAAATATTTTTTCCCATATACTAGTTTCTTGTCACACTTGTGATAACTGGTTTGTTTATGATTCCAGGTTTTGAAATTTTTAATGGAAAGGAATACATTAAGTGCTCTTTATGGTCAGGTGACAATTGGTACTCTTATCCTACAGGTATTTATTTTCTTGGTCACCACATCAGTTGAAAGAATATTTACTCGACTCGAGCATAGAATCTTAGTAAGCATGAAGTTTTGAACTATCATGGTTTTGTAGGACTGTGCCGTGGGCTTGCTGTTTGCTTTACTTCCAGTTCTAGGTGGCAGTTCTGGCATTCTTCAAGGATTATTATCCATGACCAAATCGTAAGCGAGCAAAAAAAATCTGTAGGATCTGCTATCTTTGATGTAATTGTGGCAAAGGTCATCCACGTTTGATGGTTTACTTTTCTCTTTCATTTTTCAGGTTGGTGATTTTAGTTACATTTCTGATCGTTTTGAGTGTATTAACTCGGACTTGTTTGCCATGGTTTCTTAGGCTTATGATAAGCTTATCATCACAGGTAATATATATTATTTGGTTCAATTTTTTAATCTATGCAGACATTTGTTGACTCATTTCTTTTAAACAGACTAATGAGCTCTATCAGTTGGCATTGGTGGCGTTTTGCTTGCTTGTTGCTTGGGTTCATTCATTTCCTTCTTACTTCGTGCATTATAATTAACGTGTTCATCATAATCATCAGAGCAATCTGTCTCATTTTGTTGCATTAGTTGTTGTACCATTTTGTACTTGCTCATTCTTACAACGTTTTCCAACCAATAAGATCCATGTTTCTTTCATTCACTTAGCACTCTATATACCTGTGTACATGCGTGTGTGTGTGTGTGTATTAATATAACTACTTGCGACATTCCAGTGTAGTGATAAACTGGGTCTAAGTCTTGAGCTGGGCTCGTTTGCTGCTGGAGTGATGATATCAACCACTGATCTGGGCCAGCATACACTTGAACAAGTAAAACTTCTAGTTCTTTGTACCCTTTCCAGAACTTCCAAGGCGGTTACTTTGTAATGCTTTTCTTGTAATCTTCTTATAAAGAGTTTTGCATCGCTTTGCAGTTTTGTTTGTGATATAAAAATATGTTAACTTCCAACTCAAAGTTAACTTTAGTGATAGCTCATTGACCATCTCTAAGCACAGTTAACATTGCAATCGCTTTAGAGAGCAAGTTATCAGTCTTAATGTGATTGAATCAGCAAAAGCAATTGCTGATGGTGTAAGATGAATGGTTCCTGTGGAAAGATAATTCACGGTACTAGCATACTATTTGTGCAGTTAGCAAACTTGTGTATATTCCCTTGGTCTGAGGCACTATTCTGTCCATCTTGGTGTGGCTTCAAATAATTTAGTTGATATTTTCCGTTTACCTGAATGTATTTTCCCTTGGTCTGATTTGGTTTATGATGCATGTTTGAGAACATTATTGCCAACATGACAACCAAATTACGGATTTACGAACATTTTTCATTCAGTTTTGTTTATTGTACTTTGAACTAAGAAACTGCATCATCTCAATGCCGTTGCGGCGTTGCCTTGTTAATACCTCTTACACGCAAGATTCTGCCTTGATTTTCTATACCTTGCATGCAGGTGGAGCCCATTCACAATTTATTTTCCGCTTTTTTCCTTGCCAGTATTGGGATGTTGATTCATGTACATTTCCTTTGGAATCACGTCGACATATTGCTAGCAGCTGTAATATTGGTGATTGTTATTAAAACAATGGTAGTTGCTGCAGTTGTCAAAGGATTTAGATATAGCAACAAAACTTCACTTCTTGTACGAGTTGCGAGCCTTCTTAGGTATTTATGTTCATCTTGTAAAGTTTCTTAGTTATTTCAACTTAATGTGTAGGTCGGAATGTCTTTGGCCCAAATTGGGGAATTTGCTTTTGTTCTTCTCAGCCGTGCTTCTAATCTTCATCTAGTTGAGGTTTGTATGCCATTATTTTACTCATCATTTAACTGATGCTAAGTACTGTTATTTAGACCATACAATTTTTTTCTTGAAACAATTAGCTCAGATCTTTTATTTTATTTTATTTTCCTTGTTCCATGGCCTTCCTTGATAGTATTGCCAACTTTTTTGTCATTGCTGCAGGGTAGACTTTACCTGCTACTTTTGGGCACAACAGCTCTCAGTTTGGATTGTCAACTGTTATTGCCTTTCTTTCACACTAGTCATTATTTCACAAAGTTCTTTCGTTGTTAAAATGGTGCCGAATTGGTTTTTCTTCCGAGATTTTGAAACGTGCTTATAATATAAACGTGCAGGTGACTACACCATTGCTTTTCAAGCTCATTCCGGCTGTTGTTCATCTTGGGGTGCTCTTGCGGTGGTTCCCCCCTGATAGTCAAAGCGAGGTAATTTGCCTTTTGATATTTAACTTCCGACAAGATAGAACTGAAATAGAGGGTTGTAATTCTTCTAAGCTTTCACCTAAATTCTTGCTGGAACAAGTGTTTTGAGGTTTATAGGATTTGTCCTCTCAGATAGGTTTTAAAGGAGATAGCCTCCGCTCGGACCATGGTAAGCAAGGTAACATTCACCGCTCGAGTAGTTTCCGCTCGGACAGTGCTAAGTGTATTACTTTGCTGGTCCAAGGCCCTCGTCACTCATGATATTAAAGGAATCAGAAAACAAAGAAAATGCAAAATTTCAGCATTCTCTTGATGGGGTTATTATACTATGGAGGACAAGTGCTTAGATGTACAAACGGAAGGTATCTGAGTGAACAAAACAGATTTTCAAGTGCGAAGTCCCTCGTATGTTTTTGACCATTTACAATGCCAATTTCTGACAAACCGAAGCCTGTTGTGGAAGGGGAAAAAAGAAGAAAAAGCCAGCCCCGACAGATGAACAGCAGTAAAACTTCCACAGATGACCTTTTTTTTTGTAAAATAGCTTCCATTTTGTAATGTAATTCATTTCAATCTTTTTCATGTTCCCCCACTTCACTTCCATTGGCTGGTTTATTTGTTTTATCGCATCCATTTATTTAATTTGTACAAGATGTTTAAATTATTTAGACCAATCTTTATTCATAAATAAGAGTATATTTAATCAAATAAATAAATATAGTCCTGCGTACTCTTGTGAACTAAAATAAGATTTAGCCAACAATAAAACATGGAACATAAGATTTGAAAAGTTCATATATATTTTAATAAGTTTTTTAAAAAAGTATATATAATGGTCTTTAAAACCACTGAAACTCCAAAGGCAAGCTAAATAGAAATGACACTTCGCCAACTCGGCCACCATTGTAGTAGCTGAATAAAACAAACTATGGGTTGAACCTATAGATTTTACCTCTATTCCACTTAATTTCCTCCGTCAGAATATTATTTTATAATTATATTCACATAAAATATTATTGATAAATAATTATTTAATTTTGGATTGTTTTTTTCAAATAGGTATAATAATCATAGAATGTTGACAAAATTCTTTGTTTTTAATTATTCTTAAAAAAATCACATCCAACCCAGATTGAACTGAATCATCCACTTGCCAGCTCCAGCAACTCCAAAAGAAGGAAAAAGAAGGCAATACATAGAGCGATCGACTTCCAAATGCGTTGGGCTTTCATGACCGTATCATCACTGTAACATCTCCGCCCTTCGATTCTTCACCGCAAGAAATGCCGGCCGGAGAACTCCAATACCCTTCCCCGATCTCTTGTCCGCCGATTTCTCAAGCGACGGAAACTCCCATGGAAGAAGACGAGGCGTGGGTGTGGGCCCAGATAAAAGCCGAGGCACGCCGCGACGCCGAGTTGGACCCGGCTCTGGCCAGCTATCTCTACTCGACTATCCTCTCTCACTCCTCTCTCGAGCGCTCGCTCTCCTTCCATCTCGGCAACAAGCTCTGCTCCTCCACGCTCCTGTCTACCCTTCTGTACGACCTTTTTCTCAACACTTTCTCCTCCGATCGTTCGCTTCGACACGCCGCCGTCGCCGATCTACGTGCGGCTCGCGTTAGGGATCCTGCTTGCGTTTCGTTCTCTCATTGCCTACTCAATTATAAAGGATTCTTGGCATGCCAGGTAAATCCATTTTCTTAATTTCCTCCAACTAATGAAAGGAATTTTGAACTTCATTCAGTTATTTGTTTCCAGTTTTAAGTTTTCTTTGTCAGTCATTGAAAAATTATTACATGTTTAATTTTAGATGGAAATATTCCCGATTGACTTGAACAGTTAAACTGATTTTCTTATTTTTAATAGAATGTTGTGAACCGAATTCGTATAAAGCATTGAATTTTATTCGTCAGAGTAGAAAATTAGAATTTCTTTTCTAATAATTATAGGCTCATCGAGTAACACACAAGCTGTGGACTGAGTCACGCAGGCCACTAGCATTGGCATTACACTCTCGAATCTCTGATGTTTTCGCTGTTGATATACATCCCGTGGCCAAGATCGGGAAAGGGATTTTGTTCGATCATGCCACTGGTGTGGTGATCGGAGAAACCGCAGTTGTTGGCAACAACGTGTCAATTTTGCATCATGTTACCCTCGGCGGCACTGGGAAGGCCAGTGGAGATAGGCATCCGAAGATCGGGGATGGAGTTTTGATCGGGGCCGGTGCTACCATACTAGGGAATGTGAAGATTGGGGAGGGAGCAAAGATTGGAGCAGGGTCTGTGGTGCTGATCGATGTGCCACCGTGGACTACAGCTGTAGGCAACCCTGCAAGGCTTGTTGGAGGGAAGGAGAAACCATCGAGACACAAAGAATGCCCTGGCGAATCCATGGATCACACTTCATTCATCTCTCAATGGTCAGATTACATCATTTGAATAATTTTACTTACTTTTGTTTGTTATTAATATACTTTGAAGCTGTTCTGTTTTCGCATGGTATGATGTTGAAGCTGTTAAAATTGCAGTCTGTTTCTATGACATACTTAGCCCTATGTTACCCGGACTGGAGACTTAATATAGTGAGCGTTTAAGTATGTTTGATCTCACATTCTCTTGTTAACTTACCGATAATGATATCAATCGAGTTAAACTCAATTATTATCACTACTAAAATGAAATAAAAATTAAATTTTAGATATGATTTTGGAAAAAATTAAAAATTTAAGAACTAAAATAGATTAAAACTGATAGTTTAGATAATAAACACGTAATTTACCCTTGTTAATAATATGTCAACGTAAAAACTTGGTATAGCTTGTAATATAATATTATCGTTGTCATAACTTTTTAAAACGAAATATCGAATTAAAATTAATTATGACTTTATTTTAGAAAAATTAAAATTTTTGATAAATTTAATTTAATTCAAATTAGAGTCGTCATCAAACTTTAAGTTATGTAAGTCCAATATTGAAAAGTATCTTTTTAAAACAATTTTAAGAAAAATTATTTAAAAGACAAATTGGTTTGCGATTATCAGAAATTCAATTTTAAGAGTTCGGGAGTCTGTTATATGTGGGGAAGGGTGAGCATCTACGACGTCCAAAATTAGTACTTTCAATTATACATTGTCTAAGTAGTGGAATTTTACAAATTTGAATCTAAAATTTGAATTAAGATTCTTTTATTTCTATGATTTTTAAAGAATGAGTGAGACTTTTTTTTTAATATTTAACTCGATGAAAATGATTTAATTCACTCTGGCTTATTTGAACGTGATGTTCCCTTATTATGTGAATTAATGAAAATTAAAATATAATCATATTGGATGTAATTTCGTTAACCCACGGCGTGAAACAACATTATCTTCAATTGTTTTAGAAAACGAGAGAACAAATGCATGATTTATCAATACAACATTAATAAATGATATGTACAAAAATAAATGAAATATTAACATGTCATGTGACAAATAAATAAAAAATAAAATAATGAAATAATAAAATAACAAGCAATAAATATTTACTTATTAAATTGATTCCGTTATAAATATATAAAAAGACATATTTGAAATAAATAAAAAAATTATACCTCTTAAAAAATAGAATACAAAAAAATTGGATAATAATAAAATATTGACCTTATTCGAATAACCCTCTGAAGAATATTCTAGGTGTTTGAAAGACTTCCATAAGTTAATCGAATAATGAAAAATCTCATAAAATTTTTATATTATTAAAAATAACATTTTATAAAAATATGGGTATATAAAATATTACTTGAAATATCATTTTAAATAAAATAAAAATACATACACAAATATTCTAGAAAACCTATATAATTATATATCATATTTAATATTATATATTCCATATCACACATTTAAAATATGTTATTTTATTATTCATTTAAGAAATAAAATAAACGTATAAATATATGTAATAATACAAGGACGAAACTGGAAAAAAAAACAAAAACATAAGAGACAGTCAAGGCATTTATCCATATTCTTTCAAACTAAAATAATGATTACATCGATTAAAGGTAAAATCAGAATGACTAAAACCTAAATATGACATTTTAAGCATATTATAAATCAGGACTAAAATATAAACATGGTAAACTCTAAAGATCCCGCACCGAAATAACCCAAGTTACTTTTCATGGCTAGTACAGAGATTTACAAGAATCGAGGGACTGAAAGGGGTATTAAACTATGCCTAGGTTTCAGAAAACCCTAGGTCTAACAGTGTCGTTTTGGGTATAATATAAATAACCCTTTTATGAGTTTTCAGGAAACCTTAGCTCTCCATTTCTTTTCCTCTTTTTCGACGTCGTTCTCCTCTTTACTCTCACCTCTTTTTTTATGTTACAAGAAAAGGGAAATACCAAAATCCCAATCGGCCACCGGACCGTCGACCAAGGCAACTCAGTCCCAAATGAACCCTTTTTCTCCTAAAGACTGAAAATTAAAAAATGCTACCTTTAATGCTTTGAAGGCCTTCTTGTCTCTGGTGAGACGTTCGAACTCGAGAGGTAAATTGCTCGTCCTTTTTTTGTTCTTCCCTTTTTTTTTTGAATGGCCCCGTTATTTCTCTCCTTCCCCCTTTTATCTTATCTCGCAAGTTCCATTTGGTGGATTTGGTGATGTTTGGTGAGGCAAAGATGACCATAGCAGAGGGGGTTGGTGGGTAAAGGCATGGCTCCACTGATTTTTTGGAGAGTGAGTTTGATTTGTTTTTATTTTATTTTATTTCTTTCTTTTTTATGTGTTTTAGATTGATTTAATTTTCTTTCAGTTTTGTCAGTACTGGCGATGGGGACTGGAATCGGTGACGGTGGACTCTCTCGGTTGGCAATTACGGTGGCGGTGCCTAGAGGTTAAGTAGTTAGGGCTTAGTTAGGTTTTAGGTTAGGGTTTGTAATGGGATAGAGTTATTGGGCTTGATGTTGTTGGGCTTGACCCGTTTGGGTCTGTAAAAAAATAATATAATAATAATGATGACGATGATGATAATAAAATAAAATAAATCCAGACAAAATATAGTGTCTACAACTGCCTCTCTTTGCCCATTGTTGTATAACGAGAATAGGGCAAAGATCAAAGACACCATTTTGTCCGGCCTCAACGTTCACTCCGATCTGTGTATCCCTGATTCCAAGGTAAAAGGTCTAAAAACAACTTTGTTCCCGTTCGACAAAGAAATCTGATCGTCTGGAGATAATTTGATGTTGAAAACGACATTGCTCGTTTACATTGAAGAGAATCTGCCCACTTTTTGGTGAATACTTGACTTCTCTCCACAAGAAAGTCAAGTTGAGAATAACATCACTAAAAGATTGACTCCTCTTCACAAGAAAGTCAAGAATGACATCACTGAAAGATTGACTCCTCTTCACGAGAAAGTCAAGAATGACATCACTAAAAGATTGACTTCTCTTTGTGAGAAAGTCAAGAATGACATCACTAAAAGATTGACTTCTCTTCGCGATAAAGTCAAGAAAGACATCACTAAAAGATTGACTCCTCTTCACGAGAACGTCAAGAAAGACATCACTAACATATTGAATCCTCTTCGCGAGAAAGTCAAGTTGAGGTTTCTAGGGAAACAATCCTGAGAATGACTAAAACGAATTTCTAGAGAAACAATCCTAAGAATGTGACTCAAACGAATTTCTAGAGAAACAATCCTAAGAAGGACTCTAACAAATTTCTAAAGAAATGATGCTAAGGATGACTAAAAACTTTCTAGAGAAATGATCCTAAAAAGGAATAAAACAATTTCTAGAGAAATAATCCTAAGAAGGATTAGAGTGTGGTTTCTAAGGAAACAAACTTAAGAAAGGCAAAATGGTTTCTCGAATTACGGGTATCCTCATGAGATGAAAATCAAAATTTATCATATTTGTATAAAATGATGAATATGCAAAGATGCAAATTCATGTAACATGTATGAATGCATGATTTTTTATCTGTGGAAAAAGAGAATTTATCATTTCAAGCTTTGGAGACTATGTACGTGCTGTTACCTTATGAAAAAAAATCAATATCCACTGGCCAAAGCTAACCACTGCAGTAATCGATGGGATATCTACATTCTCTGATAAGCTATACGATACATTCATTCCTAGGATATAGTTGGAACCTTAGAAACAACTAGAATTAAATGTGTTTATTCAATTACTAACATGGAATTCAACCCCCAAGCTTTGCATTGATTTTTTTGTCAAAGTTCTATCGCCCATTTCGTGGAAATGTAACTTCCTTATTACCCACTTTTAACCTTGGAGCAGACAGAACACAACATTCCACTCGGGTGAAGTTAGAATTTATAGAAACCCCTCAGGAACTCAACATTGGCTCAGTATCATGGTTACATTCATCATTTCTTGTAGCTTTTGCCTAAATTTCTCAACCAGAGAAGCTCTTTACAAGGTGCTTAAAGCTTTCGCAGAGCGTTGCAATGATACCAAAGAGGAAAGCTCAATAAGAATATATGTGTGATGCTTTGGATTATCGACATTAATGTGTGAAAAATCAACAGAGTAACACAATTGTATGTTATGATGGTTGACAAAACAAACATATATAGTAAGTCCCATTGTATCTGCTTCACCATTTTAGACTTCACACCTTTTTACTTTATTGAAAGCATATGATTTTTGTACAATCGCCCACTCAAATCAGTGATCTTGTACTCTTGGTTGGATGGAATAACCCTAATCCTGAGATTCTTAAGCATCATTTTGGCCTAAATTTTGTTATCTTAACATGATATGGGTCTTCCATAATGCCCCAATACACGTACTTTTTTCACAACTCATTCAGTGCCAACAAATTTCAACTTTGAATAATCTCACCCTCGTACTATCTCATGCTATCATCTTGAGAAAACATCAATACCATCAAATCATATTATTTTGATTGTCTGAGGGCTTTTTCAAAAGGACGCTCAGAAAATAATCAAAACTTCAACAACCAAGCCTCCGATCTTTTCTCTTAAGTCGATATATTAGAAGATGTTCAAAATCAACCGTGCCCTTTTGTTAAGAAAAACATCTACGTTTGACCAATTACCAACTTTGATGATGTCACAAAGAAACGTGAGAAGTCCTATTCTTGTGTCTTCTGATCTTTTAAAACTTATGGTTTCAAAAGAAAACATTGATTATTCCTACATCACTCATTCTTCTTACTTCGGCTTTTATTTTCTAACTCACTTATTTATTTGAGGTAAAATGAATTTCCAGGACCTCCTTCATTCTCGAAAAATTAAAAGAATAAAAGAATTTTACAAAACCAAAATAGTACCCCACACTTTAGGCCTATAAGTGAAACAAATCAATAGTTCAATGGATATTGAGTAAATCAAACATTTTAAATTTCAAAGAATTATAGCCCTTTTGACAATTGGCAAGATCAATAGGTTGGTTGGCTTCTTGGTTGGCTTCATATTTTCTTAGGTTCCTTTCAGTCATTGAATCACCCTTCTTGTAAACATGCTGACATGCCCCTTCATATCGTCTTGGCATTTAATTAAATACAGACAAAATGAAGCAACTAGCGTATTCAATTGCTAGACCTTTTATAACACTTTCATTTCGG